CAGAGCCTTCGTATCTGCTAAGGCCGGTCGGAGACACCGTTTGCGGTAATGCAGGGAGCTGGGCTTTCAAACGATGCAGACAATAGATTCCTGAAGCCGACACTGTCCAAAAATGCCCATACTCTAGGATGCCCAGTAGTACCCTTATTCCCTTTTTGTAGTCCTAGGTTCCTTATAAACTTACTGGGCATCCTAGTAGTAGATCCTTGAAGCCTTGCACTGCCTTGCAATGACTGGATCCACTCCCGAGCCCTGGCCCGCTCAGCCACCCCAAAACTCTCTGAAACCTCCTTTTGAGTCCGAAACCCATATCCCGATCCAAAAACCCTAGCAGCCTCAACCCGGAGCCTTTCGCAGAACCCAAGAGACCTATACCTATACGTGTTGATGCCGTCTCATGATGAACCACCTACATAAGCCATCGAAGAGGTGGTAGAGGGGTCCGAACACTTGCCAAATGGCATTGGGCCTACATAGTCGCAAAGGTCATTACTGAATCCGCCTCCATTCATCCGCAGCCGTTCTGCCTGCATTTGGGAGATGGCTAGCCCGTCGTCTGTGTACTTATGAACTTATAAGATGGACATGGACTACAATCACACGCTTCCTCAACAGAAATGGCGAACGCTCGTGGGGAAACACCTGCCATATATAAGTATAATCCCGCATGTCAGTACTGAACTTGTGTGGGATGACCTGGAAATCTACGTCCTTGGCTGGCAGAGCAGTTTGCGGAAGCGGCAGAAAAAGAGCGTGGATCCACCAAGTGGCCGGTTCCTTCTTTTCTTCAATCATAGAAATCACGTTGCTGGACAAATTGTGGACGAAATCCTGCCCCCTTATTGCTTTCCCGCATGACACGCCTCAGTCTCGTTATGTTCCTTGTGGAAGGCCCCTAAGCACTGAACTCCAAAAACCGTGAACTCCTAGAGCCTTCAAGCCCTGTAAACCCTAAACTCCTGCATTTTTAAGAAATTATCTCTGTCTTCAAGAGGAGCTCTTTGCCTCTGACAGCTTCCTTCGATGGCTTCGGGCCTGCACGGGCTTAGACCCTCGAAGTCGAGGAAGACCTCAAGCGACTGGGTGAGTAGTAGGTTTAGGGTTTACCTTAACCTACCAAAACCTACTTTTTTTGTAGGGTCCCCATCAATTCCATATGAGGGTTTATAATAAGAACCTACAGAAAAGTAGGGTTTGGTAGTTTAAAGGTAAGAATTTAGAGCTCAAGGGGTGTGGGGCTCCTGAAGCGGATCTTTACGGGTTGAAAGCTCAGGTTTACGGTTAAGGGCTCCTCAAAAGATTCCAGAAGGGACAATAATTTAAGGTTTGAATTGCGACCCCAACGCCTGAATCTCGAAACAAGCCCACAGGCGTGCTTCTTGCTATAGCGTTCGGGATTTGGAGCTAAAATTATAAAGGGTGCATGCAGCAAGCCCACGCAAAGAAGGATCATGCACCTTAGTCCAAGCCCTTATACCCCGAAAAGCCCCTAGGCTGCAAACCCGTACATTCTGCATACCTTTGAGTATTTTGAAAAAACCTCGACATAGTGGTCGGTCGAGTTGGTACTAGTATCCGCCGATTAGTCCTTATTGTACTTGCGGTACACTGTGCCCCGAAACCCTAGTCTCATACGGTATTACAGCCTTGAAACCCAGGTGAGACGTTTCCGCCCTGGTATGGACTACACTGTCGCGGCCAAAGCAGCCGGCCAGGACGAAGAGGTCGGGGAGCCCCCTATATATTCTACAGACGAAGAAAACGTCCCTAAACCTTGAAAATCCGTGATGTGGGAAAACTCGGCCCCCAGAGCGTCCCTGTCTGCTAGAATTAGAATATGGCTTGGGTGATTCGCGTGCTGAGGTTTCTTAATGGGTTGGGGCCGTCAGGGCTTCACACTTTTGAGCAGGATCGCCCAGAGGATGCTTGTCGCATACGCTCTGGATTCTAGATCGGAGTGTTGTTGACCCCAAACCTCAAACCCCTCAACCCTAAACTTCTAAACCCTAAACCCCTAAACCCTGAACCCTTACCGGACGACTGGACCATGGAAGGGCCAACACATTTACAATCGGGAGTATGAAAAAATCCCTACTAAGTCCTACTATGGAGGCTAGTTGCTGTAGGGATCTGCTTCTTGCAGATCAGGGCATCATGTCTTCAAGGTTTAGGGTTTGGGGCATGTGTCATGGTTCAGATCATCGTCCGCTGATGTTTGCTAGCTGAGCAGCTCCACCCTGAAAATCCTTGGCCTATAACTTTTCGCCAGCACCGGTACTCCTTGCTTCTCCTAAACCCGACACCTGACCTCTAAACTCTTCACCCTGATACCGTAAACCGTAATTCCCCAGTCACAGAGATGCAGAATCCTAGGCCTCTCAGTGGGCCCTTTTTCCCTTTTTGTTGCCTAGGTTCCTTGTAAGTTACACAAAAAAGGGAGCCCTGTTTATTCCTAGGTTACTGGGCATCCTGGAGAAGAGCCCAAACTAAGGCACACCTAATCTATAAGAGCCCTGGTAGACCCTTATCAAGCCCTTGCAGAGCCGTACGCAGACCTGCGTAACACTCTCTGAACCCTAAACCTTTAAGCCCCTAAGCCCTTAAACCCTAACCCTAAACCCTAAACCCCTAAACCCCTAGACCCCTAAAACCCTGAACCCATAAACCCTTAACCCTTAAGCCCTTAACCCTAAACCGCTAAATCCTAAACCTAAAATCAAAAGACTCCCATGAACCCTTCCTGCAGGCTGCCGAGCTGGATGCCATCCTGACCTTCGCGCTCGGCGATAGCAGCTGTCAGAAGAGTCAGGCCATCTTTGGTTTACTTTCAGGGTTTGGGTTTAGGGAGGGTTTAGATTTTTGGGGGACGGGAGGAGGGGGTTGGGGTGGTCAACGTTTACGGGCTGTAGCCCATGGAAGTCTGAATAATTAGCAATAGTATCCCGATCCATAGGCCACAAATAGCAATTATAGTATGTAAGGGTGCTCTTCCAGCTGCTAAAAGGCCCCAAACCCTTATCACACGAGTTCTGAGGCACACGGACGGCGAGAGCAGCGCGGGACTCCAAACCCTTAAGCCCCTGTAGACCCCTGAAAGAACACTTGCCAGAACCGTGGTCAAATCCCGACTGCAAGGCCTACAGAACACCAGGCACAAGATTCCAAGCCGTAAACCTGAAAACGACCCGATAAGGCCCTGTTTAGGGCCCTCGTGAAACCCTTTCTGAGACTGGCCTTGCGACGATCGCTTTTTTAACCCCTATAAAAAAGTCCTTCTACAAGCCCCTAAAACAGTAAACCCCCAAACCCTAAAACCCTAAACGCTCCAAGCCCAGGAGAAATAGAAGTTGTTTGTTCTATTGTGCATGGCCATAGAGATCTTGCTTTGCTGTCGTGGTTTTGAAGCAATTCAGGTTTCTCGAACGGCCACCAAGAATGCCAAAAGTAGGGCTTTTTGGCCTATTTTGCGGATTTGGGAAACCACCAAATAGCCAATCATCGTGATTTTCAACTATTTTGGCATTCCCCAAAGGCTTCCGACCCGAACCTCATGCCATGTCTGCAGAGCTGAGAGCGCGGAAGTCCGCTTCCTCTCCCCAAAACTCTATGACGAGCCAAGGCAAAACGCAAAGCCCGCCCAACTCCCGGTCGAAACTCCGAACCCGAAACCTAAACAATTTCTCTACACCCCTAAACCCTCTAAAACTCCAGGCGGAAGATTTGAAGACAGCCGCCTCTGAGCAGTGGGCTTCCGAGGAGGTCGGCGGTTTTGAGTGCCACTTTGCCAGCTGTTTTAAGGATTCAGGGTGTAGGGAGTTTGGGTTTAGGGTTTAGGAGTTTAAGGGTTTAGGGGTTTAGGGGTTTAGGGGTTTAGGGGTTTAGGGGTTGGGGTTTAGGGATTTAGGATCTAGGGTTTAGGAGCTTTGGGCTTAGGTTGTTCACCCTGTGCTTTGCCTTTTCAGTTTTGGGGTTTTTGGGATTTAGGGAGGGTTCCATTCGGGCTGTAGGGTCGACGGCTCACTTTGGCAGCTGAGCGTGTTGTTCAGGTTTAGGGTTTAGGGTTTAGGGGTTTAGGGGTTAGGGTTTAGGGTTTAGGGTTTAGGGTTTTAGGGGTTTAGGGGTTAGGGGTTAGGGGTTAGGGTTTAGGGTTTAGGGTTTAGGGTTTAGGGTTTTAGGGGTTTAGGGGTTAGGGTTTAGGGTTTTAGGGGTTTAGGGGTTAGGGGTTAGGGTTTAGGGTTTAGGGTTACTGAAATGGGAAGCTGAAAGTATCAGTATTTATAAGACTGGCAAACACATACATGCGAGTCTTAACAATGGTTTAACTAAACCTAAACGCCTAACCCCCTAAACCCCTAACCCCGAAACCCCTAAACCCCCAAACCCCCGAAACTCCTAAACCCCTAACCCCTAAACCCCTAAACCCCTAACCTCTAAGCCCCTCAACCTTCACAGAACTCAGGCTACCTCGCTGCCGACGAGGAGGAGGAGACGGTGGAGGCTCAGGAAGTCTACCGAGGTGCTGATGCTAAGCTGTGTTTGAGGCTCCGTAGGGTTTACGGTTGTGAACTCAATAAAGTTCACCCTGGTAGCCCAATGGGATGCAGCTCAGAACTTCTCGAAGATAGCCCCGCTATAGGAGATTCTGATGCAGCAAAGAAGAAAGAAGAAATGTATACTGACCCGGTCAGATAAAGATATGCACGCCTGTGCAGTTCAAGGCTCCGGCCTTGTTTTCACCGATCGCTCAAGAGTCCATGCGTCTCCCCGAGACGTAAACCCTGTGCCCTCCCTCTCCGGACCTTGAACCCGGAGTTGCGGAAGAGCGGACATGTCCAACTGAAGGTGAATGGAGCTCGAAGTGCCTTCGCGCTGAAGATTTCACACGGGCCCAACTTTATTGGACAAGTTCCGCTCATCATCCTCGCACTGTACGGAGTCACCAACAGACTCTTTCGGGAGAGGTCACAGGTGACCGCAGCTGCCCTTTTGTTTGCCGTGCTTTAAGGAATGTGTTCCTCGGGAGGGTTAGACAGCCATTGTATGGCCTGCTTGCGCTGTGCATCTTTTTCCAAAGTCTTAGACCCATCAAACAACTTGAAACGACCCTGGGCCATAACGGCTCGAAGAAGACTAGCATCCATGTTCTTAGTTAAACAGTCCGCAGCTTGCAACGTCGTGGGAATCCATCGAAAACGAGTGTTCTCGCCACGCCTTTGTTTTATCAAGAGAACTTCTAGGGTGGTTCGATACTCCTCGCATGACGGCATAGCAAGTCTGGTGACTAGATCGAACAGGGACTTACAATCCGTTACAATGATGGCAGGATTAAGGGATTGGAAACCTTGCTCGGGACTACGCCAATCAAACTTTGGTTCATGTACTACACCCCAAAGAGCCCTCATCCACCCCAACATATCGACAGCCTTAGACATAGCGTAAGCTTGTGCGGACAAGGTCGATCGGACTACCCTTGGGATTTTCTTAGAGGTCCAGGTTAGGGGTGCTAGGGGAGCTTCCAGGTTCTGGTCGAGGCGACCATCAGTCGCACACACTAACGCCCCCTGATGGGAATTAAGGTTCTTCGATGAAACAAACGATGCGTCACCAAAGGACACAAAAGTCAGCTCAGGCACAGATATTGGGAGATAGTACACGCACACTTGAGCTTGCTCCTGAGTCTCCCGAAGAACCTTGTTGGCAGTCAACAGGGTTTGCACGGATGCGCGGGTGATGGCATGCTGAAGCTCTCCAAGCTTTGCCGCCATATCCGGGCGGGTGTGGGTCACAGCATACTGAAGACTACCAATTAAACCTCGAAGTTTAGTACGCTCGGTCTCTGACACCTGGGCTTCGGGTGTTTGGCGTCGAGGGCGGCCTACGTCGATGTGGGGAATGTTCTTCACATAGTCACCTTGGGAGGCTCTAATTGAGAAATCTGGGAATTGCTCAAGATGTATCCCTGTAAAGATGAAGCTCTGAAATTTGCGACTGCCAAATGGTAAGCGACTTTCTAGCTCTTTGATTTTCTGGGTAAACTTAGAGTCGCCTCCACAAACCCCATCATCCACATGAACCCCTAAGATTCCATTTAAGGTGTTGCCTGAATACAACATAAAAACACACGGCTCAAGAGGATGCTTGACGAAACCAAGTTGGAGAAGCTGCTTGCTCAACTCTTTGTAAAACAGAAGAGGAGCATCGACTCGGCCATAGGCGTTTCCTAGGAGTTCACAGACTTCATCTTCCTTAAGGTTTAGGGCTTTACGAACTTCCTTAGGGGGCTCCATGGCAAGGGGGTTATTGGCATCCGCCTTTCCGCGTAGAAAGGCTGTCTTAATGTCGAATGAACTAAGTAGAAATTTTGAAGATGCTATGGTTTGGAGAACCAGTGCTCTGCCCTCTCGAGACAGCGTGGGGGCATCACGATGAACATCAACTAGCTTTGGATGCTGAAACCCTAGAACCACTAAGCGTGCTTTGGCGCGTTGATGCACCTCTCCGACTTCTGGGGCCTTCCACGTGAGAATCCAACGGCTCTTCAAGATTTGCTCAGGATTGAGTTTCTGTCTGAGTATGGGCTTAATGGCTGATGTTTGTAGCCAGCATTGGATCTCTTTGGACTTGGCGACCTCGAACAACTCACGCTCAGCAGCTGACAAGTCTTTGACAAAGACTTCGGCTCGAGCTCGCTTGCTTAAGGAGGCCAATGCAACCATTTGCTCAGGAGACTTTTCTTGGGCCCACCGTTTGACTGCTTTAGCATTCACTGGGATCTCAAGGCAGAAAGCTTGGTGCTCGGCACAATCCAGAGGCGTTTCAACGTAGGGGAGATTATCTTCAGCGAGCGGCGGACCCGAAGACTGGTCACCGGCCTGCAAAGTCAAGAAACTCATCAGCTCATCTGCTTCTCCGGGCTCGGCACTTAAAGGAGTACTGGCGAGAAGAAGATCCTCAACTACTAAACCTTCATCGGACCCGGGCACTGGGATATTGGTTGCATTCGGGATTTCAGCCTCGGACGCAGATGGCTCAAAGGCTTCCGGGGAAGTCGGAGCTGGCACAGGCGAAGGGGCAGCAGGCACAACTGAACCAGTTGTTCCGCGCTCAACCTCACTCTGTTCCTGAGCGTCATCCACACCTTGTGACACTTGGGGAGTCAGCTCATGCTCAGGTTGCTCAATCGGATCTTCGGTAGGCGTGGGTGCATTGGCACGAGTGGCTTGAGGAGCTCCCACTTCTGGAATGGCAGAGGGTGCAGTTGACTGAGAGCTTTCAGCGCTCGGGGCGTTGGAAACTGTTAAGTCAACAAAGGAACTCGAACCCCCAGTATTCTTATGTAATCCCTCATGGTCCGATGGGGCTAAGCTCTGCCATTCCCGCAGGCTAGCGGGCCTCAAGTTCTCTGGCGCACAGCGGAGCACAGTTGTCCCGTGGGAAACCCAAACTATGGATAAACCCTCTTGACAAATAACCTTAGCGGGACCATGCCAACGGCCGGCTGCCAACCTATTCGGGGATGATTTGCGGAGCCAGTACAGTACCCAATCTCCCGGTCGATATGGGCCTCGAACAGGGTTACTCCTACGAAGTATGGCTCGTCGTATGGCTTGGTTGTTGTCGGCTTCCCAAAAGACTCGGCGGGCTTGGCAACGGAGTTCTAAGCGCTGACGGTGCTGCTCGGCTTCAAGATCTAGGCCTTCTGTGATCGCATGGGAAGACAAATCCTCATCAGATGTTAAGCTTCCTGGCACCCGGACAGACTTACCTAAGACGATCTGTTCTGGGGAGTAACCTTGATGACGCACTAAGGCATTCTTAGCTTGGAAAACCTGGAGAAGTGCTTGATCAAAGGTATCGTCATTTATGATGGGAGCTTGGGTGTCCATTCGGGCCAACATATCCTTAACTATGTCCCCATGTCTCTCAACTCGGCCGCGTTGCCAAGCTGCCGCACTGACAAAGACTCGTGCACTCATACCTTGAAAGACACTCAACATTTCTTCAGAGCGAAATTCCCCAGCCGGGTCCAGATAAATTTTGCGGGGTTGTCCGGCCCAGGACGTCCAGAATTCCGAGACAGTCTTAATGGCCTGAGAGCCATGTCGCGTGTTGATTCGCCGTCCTAGATGAAAACAGCTAGCTTCGTCCAACACATGGATCACATTGACACTATACCCGGAACGACTTTTGAACTGGAACCCGTCTATTCCCACTAACTCGTTAAACTCCTTGGGCTCGGGAAGCTTGCTGGGGCGTTGATGTCGGGGCTCGGTGGATTCAAGGCACGCATCGCATTGGTATTCCAGTGCCGCTTCAATCAAGGATGGACTCTCCTTCGCTGCCTTCAAGTGTTGGGATAGGGTTTGAGGACTAGGGTGTCCGAGATTGTTGTGGATTCGAATCAAGCGGCCTAAAGGCAGGTCCATGCAGTGGCACCGGAGGAGGTGCCCATCCTTCGATATCTGGCTTCGGATCACCTTCGGAACTCGGCTTTTCTCCGGACGAAATCGAAGCTTCCGGACGAGACCTCATATCTCGGGTATGACCTAGCACAGTGATGGAAACTTCGACAACTGGCACTCGAAGCTTCTTCCGCTCGGCAGACATCGTGGTGCGATCTTCGTTGCCCAAGCAAAAGTACTTCCTCGTTCCATCCGCAGCAACACGAGACCCCAGACTTATTCTCCAGGGCGCTACCGTAGGAGGCAAAGCACCTAGAGGACTCTGAAGGTTGCGGCTTCCCTTTCCAACAAATACTTGCTGTATGCTAAACTGGGGAAGCCCGGCTTGCAAAGCGGGGATCAGATCATGTTGTGGGGAGACAAGCGCTGCAGCGGGACGGTGTCCACAGGAAGAAGCAACCTCAAAAATGGATTGCCACACATCCGCAGGCAACTCAGACGGAGCATGCACATCAGGATTCAGCACCGGATCAAGCTTTCGGACAGCGGTACTCCGGTCATCATTTGCTTCCGCTGCAGGGCGTTTATGGGAGCCAAGGATATTGCTGGGCGCGGGAATGCCCGTGGATGTCTTAAACCTCTTGCGGGTGAACTGGGGAACATCCTCAGCAGCACAAGCCTTCTCAGCTGCTTGCTTCAACAGCTGACGGGCAACATAATGCGCAAACCCAGAGCAGTATGTGCCCGCAAACTTTGCCACAGTCTGACCTTGGAGCTCGCGCAAACGGCCGGCTATCGCCTGATGACCATGTCTACCTTGACACTGCTTGTCTACCAGTTGTTGAATAAGGTCATCGGAGTTGCTAAGAATCACAGTGGTCTTTTTGATTGGCTTCTGACTGACAGGAGTTTGGAGTCCAAACACACACATGTCGATCGTTACACGGCGGGTCTGTTGCTGAATGGCTTCAAGCTCAGGTGATCCAAGTAGTTGAACACCGGAAGGTAATTCTAAGTGAAAACCCCGATTGTGTTGATGCTGCCACTGACAAATCTTTGTGCAAAGCTTCCAGTGAACCTGCTGCTGTTCCCTTTGTTGGTGAACATGGGAACGATATCTGGGACATCGGGCAGCATTCAAGTTTGTCCAGGACCCCCAGTAGCGACAGTCCGGCGAACACCAAACATGCTGAGGCTGCGTCTTCTGAATCAAATCCCAGAGAGCACGCTGGCCTGATGCAGTGGTTAGATCTCCATCCTTTGCTGTGAAGCGCTGCGCTTTTCCCCCCAAGCTTCTAACCCAGGTTGTCAATCGACTATCCTCACTAGCATATATCTCTAAAACATCTAACCTAGGCCCTGTCGCTTGACCATAGGTAAGCAAGGAGTCTTGGAACGTGCTCCAGGAAATGTCTTCGGCAACACTGAAAGCACTCTTACTGGCTGCATCGACGCTGGAAGCCAGGTTTGCCAAGGAGGACTTGCTCAGCATATGCTGGGATGCATCCAGCTCTTGTCGAAGGGCTGACTCAGGACAGACCCTCTGGGCGTTGGCGATGCTACGGGAAGCTACTTTAGGGAATGCTGGATGATTGCAAGTCGGCAAGGCGAACCCTTGTCGAAGCAGCCAAGCACGATCGGAAGCCTCCAGCTTCCAGACAGGCTTCACAGCGTAGCCGATTGCAACAGATCGATTTCCCTCCCATGGCATGGTGGCATGCCATTTGTGAGGATTCACGTAAACTGCGGATTTTAAGGACTGAAGGGAACCATCAATCTCTTGCCCCCGACACATCAGGGTCTTGCTCTGCTGATTTGCCGCAGGCGGCTGAGCGATCCAGATCTCACCACCAGCACGTGGATACTCAAAAGGAATGACTATGTTCGGGATCGCCAGTGAATTGAAGCTATCTCGGTGTGGGGTCGATCGGGTGTTTCGGGATATGGTGATGGATGTTACTTGCTGATGGGGGTCCGTCAACTTGATCATGCGCACCAGAACTTGGGTCAACCAGGGAAAGTCACGCGAGACTCTGGTGATGCCTACTTTGCCCCCATGAACAAACATCCCGAACACCACATAAGCAGGAGTTTTATTGTCTTCAGTTTCTAAGAGCTCAAGTCCAGTTCGTGTTCCCGCGCTATGTGTCTTAAGCTTGTCCCAGGGGATTGATCGAAGGAACTTCTTAAGCTCGGGTAGGGGAGCTTGTTGGTCTAGGAGTTGTTTTGCAGGCTCTTCGATGACCTGTGGGTCAAACGCCTGGAACGCACACGCTTCCTTCAGTTCATGCTGGCAGGTGGCTATCTCGCTCAGGAGTTGCGAGCAACCGCAGACAGATCCTGAACAGCCATCAGCACTTGCTGCAAAACACTTTCCATGTGGGTCACGCGAGTGGCCAAAGACGTGACCTGGTGATCGAGAGGTGGATCGGACGAATCTTGATTCACCAAGTCCCAGGCTTCGGGCACGGCTTCGGAGGATTGGGCCGGCGGGCGGCTGATGCTCTTGGCTGCAGCTTTGGGCCGACCTCGAGTGGCCGAAGGTTCGGTCTCGAGCACAGCTTCCATGGTGTCCAGAAGGGCACTTTCCACGGCTTCGGCTTGATCCACGTAGCGCTCCAGATAGGCTATGAAAGCCTGGTGGCAACGCTTCTCGCTTTGGCCCATATGCTCGATGATCCACTTGCACCATCCCTTTTCGTTCTCGGCTACGTCCACGTAGGACCGTCCATGCATGGCTTTGCCGAAGTCGATTGTGAACCGACCCAGCTCTTCCAAAGGCATGGTGCGAATCTCGTCCATGGTGAACCGCAGCTGCGGCTCGTTCAAACGGGCGAAGCGAACGGCCAAAGCACGGTTGCCCTGCGACATGTTGAGAAGGGAGCAACACGGGATCACAGGCTGAAGAAAGCGCAGGCTTGGGCTCAGTCTTGGCGGCAACTGCTTTCATCGGTGAGTGGTTACACGTCACAGTCGGCTTCGGCTCAGACGTGGGTACATTATCAACCTTTATGGTTTTACCAATCTTCGTAAAACCCGAATTCCTAAATCCTGATGTTCTAAAGGACTTCTTACTTCCAGCTGTACACGGATGTGAGTTCTGTCCCAGATCAGGACTCTCGGACGCATGCAGGAGAGGGTCTGCGCTGTTTGCAAGTGCAGCATCATCTTCACACAATGCCTGATTGGCTTGCTCTCGGTCACTTTCAACGCACAGACGGGCAAGATCGATCATGTAGAGCCCTGTAGGCCCAGTGTGCAGGCTCAAACACTTGCTGAGGCGATGCAGGTGGCACTGATCCGTGCGGGTATCGATGACAGCTTGAAGTTGTTTCAGGGCACGTTTGCTGAACAACAAGGGGGTACCACCTGGCACGACCTCAATCCCTAGCCACAAAATCTGTCCTTGAGCAGCTCGGAAAGGAAGCAAGATACGCTGTTGGCTACGCAAGGTTTGATTGTTACCGAACCTGAATTGCACTTCGCTCTTCGTAGTTCTAACCTTCTGCCGAACCTGCTCTTCCAGTTGGCTCAAGAAGCCGAGCACAAGCTGCTTGCCCATGACACACCGACTGGCCCCCGTATCCAAAATGGCTTCTATGGGACCGTGGCTGATCAGCGCCGTTGCGGCACTGGGCACAACCTCAAAAGAACACTTTCGGCAGCCTACGAAGGGTTCCTTGGCACGGCGATCAGTCGAGGAGGTTTCCCCATTGCTTGGCAGCCTGCTTGGGAGGATGTTACGATTCTTTTGAAAGGCTCGAAAGTTCTTCACAACCTGATTAAGTCTTTCCTGAATAACCCCTTTATTCCAACCACAGGAAGCAAAGTGAGCCTCTTCCATCGTCAGCGCTCCCTCGGGGAGGCTAGTGCAGACCTCAGCAATCTGAACCTCGGCTTCATCCAGGGTGGCAAAATTGGATTCATCGACCTCGGCAACCGTAGTAGTGGCCATCTCGCTCTTTCCGGCGTGACCGCTTCCCTTGCCCAGCTTGGGACATTCTGCTTTCCAATGTCCGCGTTCGCCGCACAGTCTACAGTTGCTTCGGCTGATGCGTGCGAGCAGTTGCTCGCGGGCATTTTTGCCCTTGCCCTTTCCGCCTTTGGCGGAACGTCCGCCCTTGGATCCCTTCCCGCCTGCTCCAACTGGCCAGAAACCTCTAGCTCGCTTCTTCGCAAGAAGACGATTGCGAGCTTCCAAGTAATTCACCAGTGCATCTTGCAGGTCAGGAGTGTCCTGGAAGAAGCCTTCCAGCTCCTCCTCAAACGCTTGAACCTGTAAGGCATCTTGATCTTCTGCTGCCACAAGCGCCTCGATGTACTCGTTGTCCAAATCGGCTTCGCCCTCATCGGTGAAATGAGCGGCAGCCGCTGGAACTCCTCGATCGGGCTCCTCGTCGATGTTCTCATCCACGTGATTTGCATCGTAGGTCTTCGACTTGCTGTTGCGCTGTCCTTGCAAATCCGTGAAAAATCGGGACCCTAGCAGCCGGATAGCTTGGCTGACTTTGCCATACTCCAAGGTACCGCCCATCTCTACCACAATCCGCTTCCGATCGTCCGAAGACAACTGGGATTGGCGTAGAAGAATGTACGCTCGGATCTCCTTCAAAGTCACACCACCAGCCAGCAGCTCTTCAAAATGAACATCGTGCCTTGCCAGGTAGCTGTCATTGGTCTCGTCTGCCTTCTGGGTCGACCCATAAATCGCTTTCTCGAAGCTGTCGTACTTCTTCTCCAGATCAGTCTTACCCCAGGAGCCACCCAGGGTTGACACTAGGAGCTTTACTCCGGTCTCATCATTGGCCTTCAAAAATTCGGCGTCCAAGGACGCCACTTTCTTGAATGCCGTTCCCTCGCACATCAACGCCGCCCTGGGCGCCAACAAGGAGAGATGCTCCTTCGGCCACATCGCCGCAAGGAACTGGAGCTTCTTGCTGTACTCTGTCACATCCGTAGTCCCCGGTATGAATCTCGGAATGGCCTGCCATGGTAGCTGGAAACTGCTAGAGGACTCCGCCGCCGGAGTCGGAGCCGGTGTGGCAGTCGCAGTAGCCGGTGGCATGCTTTCGCGCCAAGACAAATCCCAGGATCAACAGCTTTTCCGCCAGAGGTGGCGAAGCAGGTAGCTCCGCTACCAGTGTGAACTCAATAAAGTTCACCCTGGTAGCCCAATGGGATGCAGCTCAGAACTTCTCGAAGATAGCCCCGCTATAGGAGATTCTGATGCAGCAAAGAAGAAAGAAGAAATGTATACTGACCCGGTCAGATAAAGATATGCACGCCTGTGCAGTTCAAGGCTCCGGCCTTGTTTTCACCGATCGCTCAAGAGTCCATGCGTCTCCCCGAGACGTAAACCCTGTGCCCTCCCTCTCCGGACCTTGAACCCGGAGTTGCGGAAGAGCGGACATGTCCAACTGAAGGTGAATGGAGCTCGAAGTGCCTTCGCGCTGAAGATTTCACAACGGTTTAGGGGTCCTGAAGGACTAGAGATTATAGGTCTGAGGGACTGGGGTTTGGATTAAAGTTCTAGTTCGGGCTTGTCGGGGTTTAAGGGTTCTGTTTCAGGATTTGCGGTGCAAGACCTGGTGTACTACATCTTTGATGGTATCTGGTTTCATTCTAGGAAACCTGCAGAAGTCATCGGAACTAGGGTTTGCGGTAAAGGGTCTGGTATTTACGGTTTAAGGGTTTAGGGTGTAAGCGTTTGCTTTTTCTGGTTTGTGAATATGAACCAAGGATACAGATGGCCCTCTTGTAAACTTGCCCGCGGTGCCCAACGCGCTTTGCTTGGTGATGCGGGACTCGAAGACGCTGCGCTTCCTCAAGTACCTTAGCAGGGACGCGCCATCCTCGCGTGCTGATATTTCGGCCTCCTATCGTGTGGATGCTCCGGAAAGCTCGGAAGAGGACGACGAAGGCGTGGGCGAAGATGCAGCAGCATGAATTGATGTTGCTGTGTTGCCCGGCCAGTTCCAAAAGTTGCGTGTCAGTGCTTCAAGATGTTCAGCTTTGGGAAGTTAACGCAAGTTGTGTCGCAGCTTTGCACAAGATGTTAAGATTTTCAGGAAAGTCAGAGCCAGCACTCATGTTCGCGACATACACCCAATCCACCACCTACTATGCTAAACCCAATTGTCTAATTATTGGGGCCTGGGGGATTCCAGGGTGGCCGCTTGAAGCCTCCGTGCGCATATGCCGGATGCTCGTAGCATCCCAGTGCCCGGTCATGTAAGATGACAACACTCTGCAGGGTGAAGGCATATAAATCTGGGTAGGGCCTTGGGTATGTTATGGTATGAATATATTTACACGGACATGAGAACGGTATGATTAATACGTATTCCCAGGTTGAGGATTGGCTTCAGGGCTTAAGCTTAAGGCGCAAAGCCCAAGTCTCGGATTGGAACCCAAGCTTCAAATCCGAGAGTCTGCCACAAACGTCTCACATGCAAAGCCTCAAGCAAAATGGGTGGTTGTGAAAATTATAGTCCCTTCTTGGGTCCCTATTACAATACGGCACCTAATATTTAAGGTACCCAAAAAAGGGACCCTAATTTTGACAACTACCCAAATGAACCATGAGACCCTAGCAGCTTGGAACTCCCGAGTCTCCACAATCCCAAGTCTTGCCCGCAGAACCGAAGATAGGGGCCTCAATAATTACAATCGGGTTTGCGGGCCCGTTATGCTATAGTGATAACAAGGAGCCCCCCCAAAAATGGTATCGGTACATCCTCAAGCCCAGAACCATAGGCATAGCTGCAATAGTTCTTGGTTAAGGACCTTGTGTTCAAGAAGCCCTTGATAACAGGGGGAGCGGGGAGCTGGTCTGAATAAGTTACCAATACCGTTGCCCAGATTTTCTAGTCTATAGTGATATAGTATGCTTTACTAAACATACTCCACAACGTTATTCTATGTCATATCAAATCCCATGTTTCTCTCGTAATTAGGTAAGTTGCTGCTTCAGGGGCTCGTGCAGTTCCCGCTTGAATCACCTGCAATGAAAAGATCTGCCTTCAGTGGTTTGAGCTTAGGGTTGAAGGAATGAGGGTAGGGAGCCATGATTTTCGGTGCGCTGACCCGCACACTCCGCTGTCCCTAAATCCTGAAGCTCAGAAACATCCCGAAAACAACAATACCCGAAAACCCAAAGCACCCAAAAATCCTGCGAACCCCAAACCCCAAACCCTTGAGCCCAAACCCCTCCACCTGAGCAGATGGGAGAGGGTGCTCCAAGAAATACTATAGGGGCCTGAATATTGCCTATACTCTGTTGGGGTTCCTTTATTAAGGCCTCTATATTTCTCCCAAAAGAAGCACCAACACATCGAAGACAGGACAAACCCTAAACCCCAAAATCCTAAACCCAAGACCCTAAACCCCAAAACATGGAAGAAAGGACATGGTCGAAGCCCGGGCACGCTGGCTCGGGGATCGCCGAAGCCTCAGAAAAGGCAGCAAAATTGAAACCGAGTTAGAGGGCTGTAGAGGCTTTAGGGGTGTAGGGTTTAGGGGTTTTGGGTTTCGGGGTTTAGGCTAGGGGTAAGGCTAACATAGGTTTGTAATGTATTTTTACCTTATAGAAGACCTGAAGTATTGCCAACGCTATTTCTTAGAGCTCCTTCGTATAATTCTGTATGACTGTACCACTACATGCATACCAAAACGGAATGATTGAAGGTAGGAATGAGGATAACATATATAAGGGCCCTAATTTGGGGTTAGCGTACCTAGTTTCAGCCCACTATGGGTAGCCGCTATCCCGAAGGGTCCGAAGGACCCAAGAAGTAGACACTTGCGTTTAGGAGTGTGGCTGTGTAGCTTAGCATGTTGGGAGTAGTTATATGATTCTGAGGAGCTTCGACCTGTACAGTAGAAGTTGTATAGTATACCCCCGAAACCCCGTTCTATGCTTTGTATTCAGGCCCGTATATACCCTTCACCAGCAGGGCTGGGAGCTGAGAGATTTCTGAACAGGTTTCCATACATTAGGGGTGCAAGGGTTTGGTCACGATGTAGGCTTTGCGGGTCTAGTGTTTACCTAGACCCGCGCAAGTAGTATATTTTGGTGATGCTCAGGAGCTAAGGTCACCAAAATTAGGTGTCACATTTTGCTGTGTAGGTAGGGTTTAGTGGTTGCCTTTAATCCTTATAAACCCCAGGCCCTAAGCCCCGAAGCTCTTGATCCACCCTGAAACCCTAACCCTGAACCCGAAGCCCTAAACCCTAATTCAGTCAGAGTAGACCTTGCCCAGTTTGGGTAATAATGCCACCGCCAACCAATTAGATGATCATTTTTAGGAATTCCTAGGGTCCCCCCTACACATCACCGATAAATCACTACTACTTCCCCCATTAGATGATCATTCTTATACTCCCCCCTACACTTCACCATTATATCACGACTACTACCCCATTATCAATACAATTCTAGGAGTAACCATAACCCCATCTATTACCTCTAAGGTGGCATTATTACCCAAAAGGGGCGAAGGGTTCCTTGTAGAATTTGGTTCAGGGTTTAGGGTTAAGGGTTGTAACAACACTGTAATTATAATATATAACTGCTTATGTATTATAATTACATTATAACCATGCTAATAATAGTGCTTCAGTTGACTGTTCCACCTTATTAAGTATTTGTCAAGAACACGGTCTTTAACAAATACGCCATCGTTCATTTTCTTGATTATCTTGACTCTCATTCTCATCCACTCAGAATCATTTTTGTCAAAGGCTTTGAACCTGAGAAAGGTATCAATTTTAATGTCGTAATCCAACAGTTTTCTCTGAAGCATATTGACTTCGTCATTTAGTCGCACATTATCTTCTAAATATTCTTCGTCAATGGCGCGACCATCTGTAAAATCTGATTCATTAAAGTCGCTATACACTTCGTCATAACATGGATCTTCTTTTCGTTCAATATCTTCGCTTTCGGTTGATTGTGTTTCCTCTGGTTCTGGTTGTATTGTTGGTAATGTTAAATTGTGTTCTCTTGTGTTATTAAACTTGTGGTTCAATGTTCCTAGTTCGGCAATATACTTATCTTCAATTGCCGTCATTTCCCTCCGATCATTCACTTCTACTGTCTCTAGTGGTTCTATAGAAAATTTGTCTTTGCCGATCTTTCTCATTAAGTTGTATAATTTAGTTTTCTGTGTGTTACATTGCCACTTGTGTTCTTCAAATCTTGTGTCTAAGCTTTTAAATGTGCTCCCCACATATTTATCATTATTCTCTGTGTTTTTGATCATATAAATGAACCCAGTTCGTTTTCTTTGTTCTTCTATTGGTGCCATAATTAACCTAATTATAAGAAAGTAAATAGTCTTTAGAACATTTCCTATAGAATATAGTCTCACTTACCGAACCTGAGTATTATCCAAGCATTCAGAGCAAGTCGCAATGTATTTAACATAATAATAAGAGTGCTTACCAGCATAATAGCAACGCTTAAAACAATCAATATTTTTGACTTGCTTACAACGATAACACTTCCTAGTAACAACATTATTTGTTTCAGTATACGGATCAAAATCAACTAATATCTTATTTACTTTTGTTGTCATTATATTAATAATATACACATTTTCATAATGCGAGATTATGAAAATTTGCATTCCCTAAGATTTAATGAAACTAATTGCGAATTCATATCATTTCCACACTCTTATGGTGTGCTTATGAAACTGTTCATCACACGGGAGCAATGGGACCTGATCTTCTTCTGATGTTTGGGCAGGGGGAACTATACTATACTATACTATACACTGTCAATATAAACTAGATATTTAATCCATCATATTTAAAATATTCTTCAAAATAGTTACATCTTTGTCTATCCTTTCAACATCCTCCTCCACTTTTTCTAATCTCTCTTCTGGGGTGGGCTTTCTTGATCCCCACCCGGTAGAAACCGTATCAACACCTTCATTATCTTGTATGTTGCTTTTGAATATTTCATTTTCATCTGGGGTAACTCCTCTACTGCTTCCAACCTTCCAAGAACTACGATCTTCAATGATTGTTTTACCTTCGTTGTTTATCTTAGTTTCTTTGTGGAATGTCTTTTTTCTGCATTTGCAAGGTAAGCAGTTTAACCCATCCGTGTTTAAGTGGAAGCCACCATCGTTAGTTTCTTTATGATTGTCACTCATTAATTCTTCTTAGATTTTTTTAAATACTCCAGAACTGCCTTCAATAATTCTAGCGAAGCCGTGCAACACTTTTTCAGCTTGGTATCTTGTATTACAATCTTTTCAATTTCTTCAATCTCCTCTATCGTTTCTAAATACTGTTCCATTATATTAAATCATATATAATTTCTCTGCTTAAATAATGAGTGATAACATACCTTCAATTGAGCCTATAGAGCCAAAAACCTATGAATATAAACAATCTAAATTTGATGTTGCGGATAAGTTGCCTTTTAGATCAATCATTTGTGCAAGTAGTCAAGGTGGCAAAGGAATTTTACTACAGAACCTGATCTTGAAAATTTATAAAAACTGTTTTGAACGCATCTATATTTTCTCGCCCACTGCTTCAGTTGACGATAATTGGATTCCGGTCAAGCGTTACATAACAGACCATCTCAAAGTTGACAATGATAAAGAAAGGTATCTTTTTGATGATTATGATTCAACAGCGTTACAGAACATCATTGACACCCAACATAAGGGAGTGGAATGCCAGAAGAAGAACAAGATTAAAAACCTATTTTCGGTGCTTATCGTAATTGACGATATGGCAGAAGACCAGCGGTTTATGAAATATTCTAAAATATTACACGGATTATATACAAAATCCCGTCACAATGCAATATCAGTTCTAACATCAGTTCAAAATTACAATGCCGTGGCTCCTATAATTCGCTTAAATTCTAGTTCATTATATATCTTCAAGCTAAGAAATATGAAAGAGGTTGATGCATTTAT